CTACGGGCCACCAAGTTCATCCACTCAGGACGCGTCATCCACCGGGACCAGAAGGTGCCACCAGTTCTCCATTCGTGGGCCCTGTCCCCCCACTGTGCGCACCCACCCCTGACAGCCTCGTCTCCTGCAGCCTTCCAACATTCTCCTGGACTCCAGCTGCTTGGTGAAGCTCTGCGACTTTGGTCTTGCCCGCTCCCTCAGCGGCCTCCCTGAGGGGCCTGAGGGCCAGGCCCTGACAGATTACGTGGCCACACGCTGGTACCGGGCTCCTGAGGTGCTGCTGTCCTCAAGCTGGTAAGAGCATCATTCCCCCCACCCACCCCTGCAATCCTACCTTCACCTTCCCCTGCAGCACCCCCATATCCTCTTGCCCAGCGTTCTTGTGCCCCCACATGCATCCTCACTGGCTCCCTCCCAATACCCCAGACCCCGCCCCCTTGAATGTCTCTCCTCCTCCCTCCACCTCTGCCTCCAGGGTCCCCCCATGCCTCCACCCCTTCCTGCCCCAGGTACACCCCTGGGGTGGACATGTGGAGTCTGGGCTGCATCCTGGGGGAGATGCTTCGGGGGAGGCCCCTGTTCCCTGGCACATCCACACTGCACCAGCTGGAGCTGATCCTGGAGACCATCCCACCGCCGTCCAAGGAGGGTGAGTGTGTGTAGGGGCCTGCTGGGCATCAGGGAGTCTGAGGGTCAGCACACACAGCTGTGGGGGGACAGCATGGTACCGGCCAGGACTGGTGGGGAGGAGGCTGGGGACGGGAAGGGTCCAGAGCCTCAGGAAGACAAGAAAGGGCAGGCCCTATGCATGCTAGGCCCAGGGAGAAGCTAGGGGTCCTCGAGGGCCAAGCAGTGCCTGTGAGGGGCCCAGCTGGGTCAGGACAAGAGCTGAGGCTCGTGGGAGCAGGTCCAGCAGCTGTGCTGGGAGTGGGGCAGCAGAGGTTGGGGAAAGAGGCCTGCGGGTAGGTAGTCTAGGGAGTCCTTCCTCTTTTTTGGGGGAGGGAGCCGGGGCGGGGGGAGAGGGCCAGGTGGGGGGAGCCCTATTGTCTTCCCCAGGTGGAAGGGGTGGCTCTTCCATGGAGGTGGGAATGCCCAGACTGGAGTGCGTGTGCAGGAGTGGGAGTAGGAGTGTGCGAGGGCAGGCACGCGTGCAGGTGCACATACGTGTGCACACATAGCGTGAATCCAGGCATGCAAGCTGGGAGTCCTGCCAGACAGCCCAGCCCCTGCAGAGAGACGGGCACTCCACAGGGCAGGAGGAGACAACTGGCCCCAGACCTCCCTGAGCTGCCCCACTGGGCCAGGCCCTCCCCCATCACACAGCTCCTTCTGTCCACCCACCTGCAGACCTCCTGGCTCTTGGCTCAAGCTACAGTGCCTCTATCCTGCCCTGCCTGGGGTCCCGGTGAGTGGGGCTGCTTAGGAGCTTGGCTCTGGCGTACTTCTGGTCAACTTGCTGGCCAGTCTGTCAGCCCAGACCTGGGCCCTGGTCTTCCCATGGCGATCCCTAACCCAGCAGTTTGGTTACACTAAAAATGAGGAATCTCCAGCGTCACCCAGCATGGCCTGAGGCGTGGGGAGGCCCACAGGAAGGGAGCAGGGCACGCAGAGGAAGGGACCGGAAGCAAGGCAGGGAGGGGTCTCGCCCCAGGCTGCCTGAGGGTTGCATGGGGAGGGGAGATGCACCGAGACAGTTAAGTGGTGCTGGGCGGAGGGTGAGGGTTGGAAGCAGAGCTGCCGCAGATACGGATGTGAGGAGGGACCCCGACCTGGAGAGGGGACAATACGCAGGCACCCGCAGGCCACGGCAGACGCTGGACACCCTCCTGCCGCCAGACACACCCCCGGAGGCGTTGGATCTCCTCAGGGGACTCCTGGTATTTAGCCCGGAGAAGCGGCTTAGCGCAGCCCAGGCACTGCAGCACCCCTACGTGCAGAGGTAGGGGCGGGGAAGAGGGCAGCATCCTGACCAGCTCCTCCCGGGCTGGGGCTGGGTGTCGGGTCGCGGATCTGGGCTCGGTCGGAGAGGCCCAAGAGGCCCGCTTGACGGCAGCGCGCATCTCGCTTCTCCCACACCCGCCTCGCTGGCTCCCCGCAGGTTCCACTGCCCGGCTCGTGAGTGGACACTGGATTCGGCTGTGCGGCTCCCGGTGCTCGAAGGAGTTCAGCTCTCAGCCCCCGAGTATCGCAGCCGCGTCTATCAGGTGCTCTGGCCGCGACCACCACCGTCCCCCAACCACGCTCACCCTCAAGGCCGTCCCCTGCCTCAGCGACCCCCAAAACCCTTCACACCCACGCCGTGCTCCTCTGCGCGCCCCTCCCTTCCCGCAGATGATCCTGGAGCGCAGGGGCAACAGCAGCATCCCCAGAGAGAAGGGCCTGGGGGGCACACCCGCGGGGGCAGAGCCCAGTGCCCCCCGGCCCCAGGCGCACCTGCTCAACCCCAGAGCCGTCCCTCAGCTGCCCCAGGGCTCCCCCACGCAGAACCCCGGACGCAGACGTCAGAGCAGCCCGCGTCACCAGTCCGCGCACGGTGTGTGATCTGACGGCCGCCCCGCGCGGAGCACGGCCCCTGCCCCTCCTGGGTGGAGCCACCAAGCGTCCGCCGCGCGCGACTAACCCCAACCCCGGGGATTGATCTTCCGACCCCACAGACATTGCCTGCGGAGCCAAGAACCTTCCGCGGCGGAACTCGGCCCCCCTGCTCCAGCCTCCGCCCCCAGGAGGTCCCGGGAGAGGGGAGAGGCCCCCTGGGGCGACGGCGGAGGCCCCCTCGGCACCCTCGTGGGTAGGTCGGCCCGGGAGGGTCCCTCTCACTCCTTTCCGAGGGCCCCTGCAGTGACCCCGTGACGCGCCCCTTCCCAGGTGAAGCCCAGCGGGAAGGGGGCGGCGCCCTCCCTGGCCTCGCAGGCCGCCGCCCAGGTGGCCATCCAGGCCCTGATCCGGAGCGACTGGAGTCCGGGCCGTGGGGTGAGGGCGACCGGCGCGCGACGGGTGAGCTCGCTCGGATCCCCCGCCCTCCGCTCCCTTGCCGTCCTTCCCGCCCCCTCGGCCGCTGGGTTCGCCTGGGTCAGGGCCCTCCCCTTCCTCTGGTCCCGCCCCTTATGCGACCCCTCGACCGTGCAGGTCCCTCGCGGGCTTCCCGCGGATGCCCGGCCCGAGTTCCGGCCGGGCCGGAGGATGTTCAGCGCCTCGGCCTCGCAGGGAGCCCAGGGCGCTGCGAGGGCTGCGCTCGGGGGCTACTCTCAGGCCTACGGTACCGTCTGCCACTCGGCGCTGGGCCGCCTGCCCCTGCTCCCCGGGCCACGCGCCTAAGCCGCCCTACCAGCCTTCAACCCAACTCTTCTGCTCAGCCCCGGCCCCTCGCCCAGTCCCCGCCCCCCTCCCCGCCCCGGATTTGCCCCCAAGTCCCCCATGCTCCCCCCCCCCCTCTTAGCCACCGCTTGCCCTTTTGCCTGGCCATATTCTTGAGATCCAGGGAGCCTGTCCAGGCCTCTGGGGGAGTAGATGAGGTTCCCACCCGTCCCCAGTCACTTACTCCAATAAAGTCTTGTCCATCCCCACCCAGCCTACCTGCCTGTCTTCTATCCTCAGTGAGGTGCTCCCTCTGAGGCCACACCACCCCTTGCCTGGAGTCCACCCCCTTCGGAGGACCCCCATGTCTAGTACAGAGCCCATGAGAAGCTGCGAGGACACCTGCTGTCCCTGGGTGGATCCTGTCTGCCTGGAGGCTCTCCACTGCTCTCCCTGGAGGCTCACAGTGCCTGTGACTGGCCTGGGGGGCTCCTCAGGACCAGCTTCCCCTCCTCTCTCCACAAATGCTCTGGGGCCTGCCTGGTGTCAGAACACTATCAGAGGGACAAGGCTACCCCAGGGTGCTCTGGGAGGGGGGGGGCAGGGACTTGTGCACCTGCTGCCTCAGTGCAAGCCATCACCTGAGGGCATTTGTGACCCTGAGCCAGAGTTAATGTGGAAGAGAGGACAGGGCAGTGCCCCAGGGTACAGCCCCTGACTGTGATCCTTGTGCTCTGGGCCACCAACAGTGACTGGCAGCTGGTCTGTCCTGGCGGGGGGTGGGTCCAGGGGGGGTGGGAGCTGAAGAGTTCCAAGGGGCCCCTTGGGCACCCGTCTCATTGTTCCAGGTCTGCCTTGCACCACACCTGACCCCAGGCAGGGGCTGGAACACACAGGCCACTTCCCAACTGCCCAGCTGGGGCTCACAATCTAAAGGATGTGGCCTGTGCTGTGTTGGAGGCTGGGCTGCCAGGAGCAAGACCTCTGCTCACCTGTAAAAGCTGCAGGCTGCTAGGGAGAGCCACAGGTGGGAAGGGCAGGGAGAGCTGGGCAGAGGGTGGGCCCAGACCAGGTGGTTGCAAGAGATGGAGAAAGCACACGAGGACTTGGGAGAAGGCCCAGCAAGGAGACAAGAGTAAATGCCCCAGTTCTGGCCTGCAGGTGAGCGAGCCAGGAGACCAGGCTGCCCAGGGGGTAGTCGGTTGAGTTCTTAGAGCCTGAAGCATAGCCCCCAGGTGATGGATGAGGATGGCGCATGAGGCAGTGGGAAGGAATGCCACAGCCCAGAGAGCAGGTGGGGCCCCAGGAAGCCCAGCCCTGCAAACACGGGGTGGCTGGAGGGGCTGAGGGATCCTGACACCTGGGCACTGGTGTCTGGGGGCGGGGGGCGGGGCCTGGGAAGTGTCTGCTGGGCTTGGTGGTCAGGAGCCCCCAGGGAGCGCCAGTGGGGGTGTGCCTAGGTGGAGGGCTGGCGGAATTGAAGAGTGGGAGTAGTGGATGAAAGCATTTGTCTGTGAAGGGGAGCGGGTCATGGGAAGGTGAGGTGGAGTCTCCAGGGTTAGATGTGGCTACAGGTGTTGGCAGTACAGATGTGGGGGGGTGTTAATGGGCCCCACAGGGATGGGTGGTGCTGTCCAGAGGGAAATTGAGTTCCCAAGACTCACATTTGCAATATACTGGGTGATTAATACATATATTTAGGAATGTGTTGGAATATTTTGTTGTTTTATTGTTAACACCAAAATGTGCAGAATCACATTTGAGATGTGTTATTCAGCACGACGTGGAGGATGCAGACAGGAGGCTGCACGGGCTCCCCCTTAGCAACGGGCCGCGCCAAGCACACGAGAGCAAACAGGTCAGCAAGCACATCAAGGCCAAGGAACACTCCAGCGCATCTGGCTTCTCAGTGACCTTTTTTCCACCTGAACCAAAGTATCCCCCAGCCTCCCCGCCCTCCCTTCTCCAGCTGTCTGGAGTCAGAACTGCTGCCTTTGCTCAGTGGCCTTGTTCCTTAAATCCTTTCCCAGTCTGCGTGATTTCGATTTCTTTTTCTTAAAAAAAAAAAAAAAAGGTTGCAGAAATACTAAGTTCACGATGCTAGCACTTACAGTGGGGGACTTCCTAAGCATTTCGTGTTAAAATGTGTTATTCCAAATCAAAGTCACTCCCCAGAGGTGAAAAAGATACAGGAAAGGTAGGTGGGGAAACTCTGATTTTGCAGGTTGGTGACAAAGAGGGAAAGATCCAGACCAGGGTGGAGTCGGGGTCTGCTGAGCACCTGAAGGGCCAGGACCCGTGGAGCAATGGGCTGGGGCTCAGGCACCACCACACCAGAGCCCTGCCCTCACCTGTTCAAGTACAAGCATTCCAGGGCAGGGCCAAGGCCCAGCATCCATGGAGACCCGGCTTTATTGTGCTGCACACCCCGGCGCTCTCACCCCTTGCGGGGGGCTGGGGTGCTGGCTGCAGCCCTGCAGGAAGAGTGGCCAGGTCGGTCTCCGTTCTCCTGGCAGGACAGTCAACCAGCTCTGCCTCCCCACCGTGAAAGGGTGGGCTGCTGAAGAGGGTGCCAGGACGCAGAGAGGGAGGCAGTGAGGAGGAATGCAAGCAGGGCAGGAAGGGAGCCCTGAGCCAGCGGGGGTGGAGGGGGAGACACCGGCCGGCCCAGGGGGAGAGGCTGGAGCTGCCAAGGAGGCAGGCACGAGGCAGCTGTGAGGAAGCTGTAGAACCAGGAGGCAGTGAGCAGAGGGGAACCCTGAGACATGGAAGCCCTGAGATGTGGAACCCCCAAAGATGGGGGCCTGAGGCACAGAGATGGGCCCCCCAAAAGGTGGGGGCCTAAGGCACAAAAAGATGGGGCCCTGAGGTGAATGAAGGTCTAAAGGGGACCTGAAGCCCAGAGAGATGGTGGAGGCAGATGCGTAGGAAGGGGAGCCTCAGGGCCCAGGGGCAGAGATGGAGCTGGAGGAATAAGGCGTGGGGCAGTGAGGGGCTAGCGCCCCAGCGGGGAGGGGCCAGGGCAAAAGGCAGGCCAGCTACTGGGTGAGCTCCAGGCGCAGCCGAGCTCTGACGGTGCTCAGCCGCTTCCACGCCGCCTTGAGGGGAGGAGTGCCAGGTGCTCTGCCTGGTGGCTGGCAGCGAGGCGGGTGCCTGGTCCGGGGCTGGGGGGCCAGGAGGCTCACTTCCTTTTGAAAGTACCCAGGATCCTGGGCATGAACTTGCCCACCTTGCTGTCCCTGGTGTCGTCCTCTGCTGTGCCCTCCCCTGCCCCCGGGCCTCCGGCCTCTTCCTTTTTGCAGAAGACCTCAAACCGGCTGTAGACGCGCTTCTCCTTGCGCATGCTCTCCATGCGGAGCAGCAGCCGGTCGCGGTCCTCGGCGCTGGCAGGCAGGGTGCGGCTCAGCCTTCCCTGGGCCCCCAGGCTGTCCGAGCGGAAGATGGCAGAGCATTTGTCCTTGTCGGACATGTCAGGGGCCAGGCCGCCAGCAGCTGGTGAGCGGCCTAGTTCAGGACTGCTGTGAGCCAGGCCCGGGGCCGGGGCGGGGACCCCGCGGTGTTTCTGGCCGTGGGCGCTGATCTGCTCCAGAATGGCTTTCGTGTCATCCCGCAGGTTGCTGCTGTACAAGGCGTTGGCCGTGGTGGAGCCCATGCGCGCCCGCGGGCCCCGCTCGTCTCCAGTGGCAGCCTCAGTGCTCTCAGCCCTGCCCAGCGACGGCCGCCGGGGGCTCTCGGGCTGCCCGTTCTCCTGCGGCGCTGGGAAGCCACCCTCTTCCTCTGTGCGCCGCTCAGCCTTGGGGCTCAGCAGCTGGCGGAGACGCAGAGAGCCCTTGCGCAAGACTTCCATGGGGCCGCCAGCCGTCTCCTCTGCGGCCCCAGTCTTGGGAGACTCCTCGGAGAAGGGAAGGGTGAGGCTGCCCCTGCGCTCCGGCACAGGGGGGACGGGGCTGCCCCTGCGCTCCGGCACAGCGGGGACGGGGCTGCCCCTGCGCTCCGGCACAGGGGGGACGGGGCTGCCCCTGCGCTCCGGCACAGCGGGGACGGGGCTGCCCCTGCGCTCCGGCACAGCGGGGACCGGGCTGCCCCTGCGCTCCGGCACAGCGGGGACCGGGCTGCCCCTGCGCTCGGGATAGGCCGCGGTGGGGCTCCCTTTCGGCTCAGGGTGAGGTGCCTGGCGAGGCCCAGGCCCCTCCAGCGGGGGACTGACCCGCCCTTGTGGGGAGGCGGAGCGACCCTGGGCAGAGAGAAAGCGAGAGGGCAGCCGGTCGGTGCCGCTCCGGCCCAGCGTGTCTAGCAGCTGGGTGGCAGTAAGCGTGGCTGCTCCCGGCTGCCTCTCAGCCTCCTGGTGCAGCCGCTGTGCGAAGGAGTCGCGCAGGTCCAGCAGGCAACTCTCGAGGCTGCGGCGCTCGCTTCCCGCCCCACCCGGCGCCACCGCCTCCTCCCGCCACGCCTGGGACACAACAGCCTTGCTATGGCTGGCGACTGTGACTGGGGCCCCCGCCCCTCCGGCATCACGCGCCGGGCCCTTGTATTTCTCCAGGAGCTCGGCCACCTTGGTGGAAGTGGCGGAGCGCATGGCCTCGCCACCGGAGCCCAGCATCTCGCTGACCGCCTGCTCCTTGTGCAGCAGCTGCGCCTTCTCGGTAGTGGCCGCCATGGCCCCACCGGCGCCCTCGGCCTGCGAAGCGCTGAAGATCAGGGAGGAGCGCAGGCGCGAGCTGCGCTGGATCAGCGGGTTCAAGCGCGAGCGGAAGGAGTCCTGCTTGGCCAGACCTGCCTCCTCCAGGCCCTCCCGCTCTGGGCTGTCGCCACCACCGCCGCCGGAGCAGGACACCAGGCCCTTGGCCGGGAAGGGCGCACGGGAGGCTGAGGGGAGCAGGTCCCCGGGGACCATTCGGCCACCGGACACCAGAACGTCGTCTTCATAGGCCTCAGCCTCCATGGGTGCCAGCAGGCCCTCCTCGCCCGCGTCCTCGCCATGGCAACCACTCAGGTAGGACGCCAAGCGCCAGTGCCGCAGCCCGGCCCGCCCCTCGGGTCCGCCCCTGCGCTCCTGCTCTGCGTCGGGCGCGGCGTCTGGGCCCTGCCTTGCCACTGCCTGGCACGGGAAGCGCTGGCCCAGGTTGGGGCGTGGGGCTCCGCTGGGTTCCAGGCCGCGGGGCCCGGGCCCCGAGGCGGGGTCTGAGCCGTGGCGCACCTCGCGCGACGCGCTGGACGGCACGTAATCCAGCCGCTGGTGTCCGTCAGGGCCGAGCTCAGGGAAGCGTGGCCCGGGCCCCAGCGCGAAGTCGTCGTGCTCGGCGAAGCCGGGGCGGCCAGCGCGCAGCTTCTCAAACAGGCCCTGCGGCCGCGCCGGCGCGAGCTGTGGGTCCCATTGGTAATGCTGCTGGTAGAGCTGGTCACGGTGGAAGTGACTGGTCTGGAAGCGGAAGTCGTCACCGTGGCTGAGGAACGCCTGCCGCGACACCTGCCGCGCAGCCGCAAAGTTCTCCACCGCGCCGGTGCCGTCGGCGGCCGCGTAGCTGTGCCGCTTGAAGGTGTCCATCTCCAGATGCCGGGCCTGAAAGAAGCCCCGCGGGCCCGCGAGCTCTCCCCCTAGTCCTGCCTCCGCGTCCAGCCGCCGCGATAGCGGCCGCAGTCCCGCGTGCGGCTCCAGGGCTCCCGCGGGCATCCGCGCTGGCTCCTCCCGGCGGAAGGCCGACAAGAAGTGCCGGTCGGGGTCGAGGAAGGAGGGGAAACCCAGGCCCTCTTCCCGAGGCGGTGGGAACAGGAGGTGCGCTCGTTTGGGGAAGGAGAAAGGGGTAGGCGCCCCGGTCACCTGGCCGCCCACAAGCGGCCCGGCTCCCGCGTATGGAGCCAGGGCGTAAGCATCCATGCGGGCCAGTGCCCCGGCTGAGGGCACCAGAGGCTCGGACTGCGCGAACAGGATGCGGAACTCCTCATCGAAGCTGGAGACCAGCTCGCCCTGGAACACGTGCGCCAGGCTTCGGTGGATCTTCTCGAAGGACCACATGAAGCTGCGGGTGGGGCGAGGGTCAAGATCAGAGTCAAGGAGAGGGGCGGAGTCAGCGTCGGAGGAGGGGGCGGGGCTGAGCAGCAGCGGGCACCGCGGAAGGCCACCTGTGGTTCTGAAGTGTCAAATCTGCAAGGACGGGGGGGG